CACACACACACACACACACACACACACACACATGAAAAAGGGGATACTGCAGCTTTTTTTCTCCTTTTTACTTTCTTTAAAAAGGGCAATAAAATATATTAAAACTTATTTACAAAGTGTGTTTTTTTAGACTGAAAAAAGCACTATGATAAAGTATAATCCTATTTTGCAGAAATTTATAAGGTAATGTGCCCTGTTTCCTTTCAACGTAGCAAGTACAGTTTAAAACAAAAACAAACAAACACCCAGTTGCACAGAGGAGGTCAACCAAAAGGTACTAAAGGCACTGTCAGAACCATACATGAAGGAAACCCTCACTTTAGAGTGATAGGGATCCAAGGGGAAAGGGTTAAGGACAACCTCTATTTGTCACGCCATGGGAAAAATGTACAGTTTTGCCGGATATGGTTCTTTAAGGATTTTGATACGTCTCTTTCTCAATTAAAAAAAAAAAAAAACAGACTTCACAAACTGATTAGAAAAAAAATTATATAAAAAACATCCCCCCCCAAAAAATGATAAATAATTTTAACAATATCAATAAATTGGTCTCAACACCAGCATCCGATTGTAAAAATGAATGTAAATCAAAATACAAAATTATAGTATTATCTAAATCATCTGTACAGTTTTTTTTCCTGTATTTTCTTTTGTACACAGTGYCCCCTACTGGTAGGTTTTGTTACTGCAGCTCCTGAGAAAAGCGTGGATCAGTCCAAACCTCCCACTGGTTCCTGAACCTGACCCTCGTCCAGTGAGTTGAGGGTTTTGGCAGTCCTGTCTACACGCATATGTACGAGAGGATATGCCTCATGACGATTTTCTTGTGTGTGTGAGCTCTGCCCATCACGCAGTCTCACAAGTGTAGTCCGACTCATCTCATGCCTCCGAGTATGAGCTCTGTACGTTGAGTTTGTCTTTCTTTAGTTTGACACCATCCACTAACTCAAAGTTATAGTTCTCCAGGGCTGATAAGTTCCTCTCCGACATGCCCCCATGTGAACAGGCACAGTACAAAACCACACCACAGATGGCCCCCAGGAAGACTCCCAGGGCGGACATGGCAATGATGGTAATAAGGATGGGGTCGAGTGTCTTTAACATGTTGCCTGCTCCACTGATCTGGTTGGTCTCCACAAAGTCAGGATATTCAGTGATTTCCTCAACTGAAGGAAGGAAACAAACAAAGTCAGGAACTGAGAAGCGTGATCATGAAGAGCAAATGCTTCCTTAAAACCAGGAGTGACTTACAGATTTCGTTCAATCTGTCCTCTGGTAGCATCGGCTCAGTGGGTGCATCAGGATCTATAAACAGAAACTCTAGTTTAACTCAAAGATCCAACAAACTACTGCACAGTTTGTGTTGAGGTCAGTCAACAAGGACAGGAATTGAAATCATATACACTCACCTTCACAGTCTGATATGCTGAGACCATCGAGAACTTTAATGTCGTCCACAGCTATGTCTCCCCAGCTCTTTCTCTCCACAAGACCTTCAATCACAACCTAAAAGAAAGAAAATATTATGTGACCTTTGGAATGCGTTTGAACTGAAAATGCTCCCATGCAGTGGTGGGCACAGTTCCCCTAAAGCACTAAATAGGGAAACTAATTTCCTGATTAGTGCTTTAGGGCTTTTGCTAATTTTACAATTTATTAGTGGATTAGCACTTGCTAAATTTAGAGGCTACATTTTGAAGCACTAACTGAGGTCTATAAATGTTGTTGATCAACTTTAATGTTAACAGCTGACAGTGAAAGCTGTCGCACATTTTCTTCATGTGTCACTTATCCACTAGATGACAATATATTGACAAAACATAAACCTAAATACAGCTAATGTCAATGATTAGAATTAAGAATTAAGAGAGCAACATGGCAATATGTGACTCATGTTGTCTGTTGAAGAATGTTCCATGGGTTGACTGGGTTATTTTAGTGCTTTAGCATTAGCTTTTGCTAAAAAGTTCAGTGCATTGGTGCTTTAGAATTAGSGGACCTAAATATTTGAGTTAGTGTTTTAGGGCTAGCAGAACAAATTTTTAGATCAGTGCTGCCCACCACTGCTCCCATGTTTCAAGTCCAGTGATGAAACAGCCTTAACTAGGATGAAATTCCCAACATTTCTCTTCTTTGAGAAATTCAAATGGGATTTACCTGATAGGGTTTGCTGGTGCGTGGCACGAGGACACGCCCTTCTCTCCAGCGGTTACCTTGATGACCGCTGACCGTCCATAGGAGGATGTCAACAGGTCCATTCTCGGTTTGTTTGCGCTGTTTGATATGAAGAGTGCCGATGTGCGACCCAAACATGTGGTACCAAAAGGACACACACAGGTCAGAGTCCTGGGAGCTGACCACAGGACTCACGAGCCGAGCCACTTCGGTCTCTTGTAGACCCGTCGCTAACGTGTAGATGAAATTCCCTGTTCCACCTGTTGAATGAATGGACTTTGTTTACTGACCGAGATAAACATGTAAAACACAATTTGTGGCACCAGGATATTGCCTTTTTTTTCCTTTTGCTCAAGTACTCACCTGTGTGGTCCATGTTGGGACCAGTGTTGAGAGTTGGAGTGCCACTGGACTGGATCTGCCACTTTGAGCCTGTGTCCTCTGACGTCCAGCTGCAGAAGGACGGATCATTGGCCCAGCCAAAGTCGCAGGCAAACCACAGAAAAGCTGCAAGAATTTTGAAGATAAGTCAAGCTTGTAAGGACAAATCTCACTTAAAACAAAAGAAATGTTAATAGCCTGGAAACATCAGAACGATAATGCAGGGTACAACCAGAGGCTTCCTCCAGTTATTCAAATCCACTACAAGCACTAGAGGGCACCAAAGTACTGCAGCGCTAAAGCTTTAGTGTCTCACTTGCTGGCTCAACAAAAGCACCATACTAAGGAGGGAATTGCAGTTTGAGACCAAACGTAAAATATGGCTGTAACATGAAAAAGAAGGAACTGACGGCACAGACATCACACAGTCTTTAAATCTTGGCTGTACTTGATGATATCTGTTAATGAATGCAACAGGGTGTGTAAAGGCCTAATAAGGAGACATGCTGGGAGCAGGCACCGGATAGTGACAAGGAACAGAAAGACAATGATCTGGACATGGTGTCCAGTTTTTTTTATTTTAAAAAGAGACATTCATAGTGTCCCGCTGAGAGACAAGGATTTTAATGAGAGCAGGGACTTGAAGCTTGAACACAGCTATGATAACAGTGCAGGGGCCCCTTTCCAACAAGCCAGTATCCCATAGACATACGGCGCACCCAAGAAGCCTCCACAGAGGCCAGAAAACGTGCAA